GCAGAGCTCCAGGCATTGACGAGAGAAACGATGGATAGTAAAAGGTTTTAGTGTTTAACGTCACGGGTTGCAAAGTTGTAAGGCTCGTCTAATTGAATCACTGCAATTTGAACGCCATGGCAGTTGAACTTCTGGGACAATCAGCGACTAACACGTTGTGACCTTTGTTGATAAAGCAGAGGTTTCTAATTAACGCAAGAATTGAAGTCCTAGGGAGAGGATTGCATCCGGAGTCATTCTAGGGGGAAGATGTACCCGCATAAACATTTTAAACTGTAAGGATCCTGGTTCTTGTCCCGAAGCCAGTTCAAAGGATAGTTGGGCTAAGAAACGTAATTCATATGGTGGCATTTAAGAATGCAAGGAAAGAGCAATCATGTTGCTAGCATGTGATGCCACTGAGGGGAATCTCAAATCATTAGTCATTGGAAAATAGACGTCAACAACTATTCAAACATGTAAACTTGAAACCGTTGGCAGTTGATTATTAAGCTATCTTTAAATCCGTCAAAAAACTGCAGAAGTCTAGTACAATATATGCTTCAACTGCTCAAACAGTTCAATTGATGATCATGCACTGGCGACGAGTATTTAGAATAGATTGACAAAAACGTCCCAAATGTCCACAGTTACATATAGTTTCCGTCAGAAGAGGACACGAAGTGTCTGTGAGTTGTAGAGCCATGGGTCTTGGAAAAAGACAACCAAAAACAAAGCTGAAAGGTTCTGGAGAGCAGCATACTGGAAGCATCAAAAAAGTTAACTAGAATCGTAAAATTTATGCCTAGATAAAAACAGAAAAGGAGATAGTAGCTGTATACCAGAGACAATAACGTGATGAACAATTTACAATAAAATTCTTTCCGATAAAACAAATGGCGACTGAAAGTTTGTTTCATGTTTTATTCCAAGTATGACAGGCACCGATCACTTCATAGGAACCATTCGGAAAATTGGTAGGTTCTGACATCTTGTTTTTCATATTTCAATCATGGTCAAGATAAGTGAACAAAAGTATGTGTGTGCGTCACGGTGACGGTCGATATAAAACAGAAATAGCTTCGTTTGTGGTTAGTTGTTGTTGTCACGCCAAGTTTGTTGTGCATCAAAGCGTATAGATGATTGGATGGAACAGAACACCACAGAGACCCATTAATGAGTACATGCAAATACGAAGTAAAACTCGAGTAAAGAACTTTGATAGACAACACTGTGACTTGTGGAGACAACGATGATTATCTGTGCCGATGTATAAGCTGTGGACTCAGAGAGAGAAAAAAACACTCAACATCAAGCACCAAGTGTGCCAACGAATACATTAGCATTATGGCACAAATTGAGAACTTCAGTGAAGCGCAATACCAAGGCATGAGTGAGAAAGGTAACTAACACACGTGTGTAAACCAACTGCCAGGGTTCGGTCAGATAAGGTGAATGAACAGATGCAGGCGAACAATGAACGTGACCGAATTTATTCAGGTCCACAAGGTTGACGAGAGCAACAAATGAAACCGCATAGGTGGACTTATTCCAGTTGGTAGATACGCAGACGGACTGAGCTAGTACAAAATAGTACGCTAGGATAGTGAAAACTCATTTCCCAAAGTTTATCCAGAGCAGTTACATCAAACATACCGCCTCAGTTAATACATTAAATGGATGCACTTCTCCCAGGATATTGTGGCGAAATACAGAACGAAAAAGATAAAATCTAAATAAGAACATACCACGCGCTTCTAGGTCATGTGATCAGATCGATGAGATAACCGATCGAAAGAAATTACCTTACACTTTAAATGTTTCAACTAGTTCGTGAGCTTATCATGATACGAATATCTTATTGTTTTCGGAATAACAATCAGATAAATGAGGAACAGATAGCAAAAAGATATATTTTTATGGACTTGCAACTGGAAATGGAAGATGTACAAAAGGTTATATTAAGGAAGATACATAAATGGAATTAACAACTTTGTTCAAGTATTAAAAGTCTGTCTGTTGTTGAGTGACTACAAGTGTCTTTAATCACACTTGACAGGTGCTTAGAGCATTAGTTATTCATCCTCGATGGGGACAACATTTGGAATCTTTTACTTCCTTAAGGCAAATTGGTAGATTTTCCCGGGGGGGGGGGGCATGTGAATTTGTATTAGGTGCACCTTACATATCGCAGTTTTATCACAGAAACTATGATCGGCAGAAAAAAAGTACACGGAGCGGTGGGGAATTTATTCGTTCATCGATGCGCTACCTGTGTGTTCATTCATGACGTACTCCGTAGACACTAAATAAATCATTTGAATTCGAATTTTTTTAGTCATATGACTCATTACTTCCCCTTTTGTGTGGGTGAAAATGACTAGTTTTTATAAAACATATTTCGGACCGAAAAATAGTCCGAGCACAATTAGGTTGGTTTCGCAACTAATCGTTTCATTTGTTATGCTGGATTATGTTCTCGAACGTCTGTCGAAAAAACAGGTATTTCACCAGTAGGAAGTATTGAAAGCAACGTTTGAAGAAAAGAAACGAGCAAAATGGCTGAAAGAGTAACCAGGTTGAAGTGAAGCTGACGACTACATTGAAAGGCTCGATCTGATCGACGGCTGAGCTGATTTATGTCCACAATGACACTAGAGCATGGCAATATACACGTGTTTTTTTCAACTCACGAGCAATGAGTCGTTGCTCAGCTACCTACTTCCGTTACAGACATCCAAAGATATATCAAACGGTGTTAACTTATGGCGCGGAACCATCCTGCAAAGGCATTAACCGACTGATTCGACTGCTACCCAAAATGAGCGAATCAAAGGAAGTCTGCGGAACTCAATTCATGTCGTTAAACTTTACTTCCTGTTATGCCATTAACCCAATGGCATATGCGTATTTCAATCCTCAGTCGAAATACTAAAAAATCAAACGTGAAAAGCACGATAACGTCATCGTGGAAGGAATACCTAATGTGGTAAAAACAGTCACTGTGCCCCAGATATCCTAACCTTTGTTTAACTCTTTGTCTTCCGTTCCCAACCCTCTCCCTTTACCCCTTCTACCAACCTGTAATAGTCCCTCAAGCAACTTGGATGTCGCACGCCAAAGGTTATTGCTAAATAGCACTGTAAGTGATT